GGTCAGTAAATAAAAGAAAAACTAAAAATTACTAGAGGGAAGCACAAACTCTTGAAAAAAGAAACATCTGGGGATCTGTCACTTTCTACTATTATATTTTTACCATTCAATATTCTGCAATGGAATCAAAGAGGCGGGCTGAGCTCACTTGTGGGCGGAGTCTCGCCTCAATGCATTTTCACTGCCCTCTGCCTAGACATTGGATCGTACTGAAGCCCTTACCGTACTCATTCGCGTAGTGTTGATCGTCAAACGACATTTTGTGATTGCCTGAGGGCAGACCGCGATCGTGCGATCCGGCGGTGTCATAGGTTGAGTATTCGTAATCGTGCGACGGTACCTTACGGTCGTATGGCTCCGCAACTAAAAGAACGCACAAAAATAATATGGTATAGACCGATTTAATAAGATAACATGAATTAGTCTTGTCCATATATCTTTTTTTTTTCTAAGTTCGAGCCAGTAAGAAAATGAGCTAGAGCGGATTCCCGCTGAAATGAATTCTCCGCAAAGAAAGTCCTTTGGAGCAGAACATCGTTTTTGTTTCAAGTTGAATCTTTTTTCCCACTACGTCAAATCATTTATTTAGCTCTGAACTCCAATAGTCCCCGGCTTATCTCACTGGCTATAGAAGGGCGTAGATGGAGCTGGAGGAAACATGCGATTATCCCAGGACCAGGGTCAACCCTAGAGCATATTTACGATGTTCAATCATTTTTACGGACCACTGCAGATCACGGACATCGCCGTGACATACCTGGCTAAAAGGTTGACCACCAACCGATCCTTACGTCATGCCTCCCACGGAATCACTTGCTTTCTCGACCGCCACGAAAAACCTAAGGGATTTTGCCCACAGTAACATAGCTATGGTGCTTTCAAATGGGTTTTCCAAGTCCATACAAATCTGAGGACCGCCTATTTGAGTAGCAAATCGACTTTATAACAGAAACATGAGAAAAATAAATCAGTAAACTCCAGAGTACAATACCGTAATCGTTATCGTAGGGATGTGCTGCAGTTTCGTGATACGGATCAGGTCGAGCGTGATATGCGTCTTCCTCGTCTTCGTAGCTTGCCTGCAGCGTCTGGATATCGATTAGACATGGAGGATAAAAAGAGACAGAGACAGACATAAAGACACACTCAGAACACCTTACACTCTCTCTAATTACAACCGTACACAGAACACCAAAAAACGGAAAGTACTAATTTTCAACGGCAAGAGGTGATAACTATTTTTAGCAACCATTAATATCACTGAAAGATAGAAAAAGGTACATTCAATCTAGCCCTGAAGAGAAACACGGCCCCGGTAAGAATAGCTAAGGGTTCAAATTTCGTCGGAATCCAATTATCTACGTTTTGCGATGCCCACGTGGTCACTAAGGTCAATCACCCAAGGGTGAGGTGAGCTGCTTGGTTGATCGAATTTTTCCGGGATACGCCACGCTTTTCAATCGCAGCCGAAACAGAGTTCGACTTTATGTTCAGCACATGCCATTAAAAAGGATAAAAGCTGAAGCCTGCGGGTACTACTCAATCTCTTCGGAGGATTGCGCCCCACACTCGATTTCAACTCCAAATCGCTGTGACGTAATGCGTATGTGGTGTATACAATGACTGGCGGTGGCCAGCCGATGTACAAGTCAGCGCTTTTATCCTCCCAGACGAATCCGTTACCAATTAATCGACCCCGGAGGGATGGAAGGCTTGGTTTTCCTAGGCGGGTACCGATCCAGGATTCGAACCCCTGGCCGTACGTGTGATAGTGCGCCACTTGCCACTACACCACCTCCGCCCACCGTTATGCTTCACAGATGCTTTGGAACATACATAGAATCCTTCAATGCTTGTTGGTTTGTCACACCAAAAGTAGAAAATTATAAAGGAAGGGTGGTACCAGAAGTGATGGAATGAGAGCGTTCCATTCATAGTAATTTACACCTAAAAATATGTTCTTCGAAAAAACGTTGGTGGAGCTCCTGAACTTGAAAAATAATATTCATAAAACTCAATGGAACTCCTGATTTCCCCAAAAAGTAAATTTCTAAATGTTCGACCGTGAATGAATGCTTTCTTGATGTATAGGTATGCCACTAATGATGAGATCCCTTACGCATTGGCTGGGTAAGCATCTCAGACAGGACTCTGTGAATGGAACAGGATGGAGCATCATCTGTTACTGCACGGCAATCAATTAAGACAGAGCTTAAATTGTTCTGTAGCCATGTAATCTCAAATTAGGCAACATTTCCTGATCCCACAGTTCTCCAGATTTCCGTTTGTGATCCTTTTCTTGTGGGAGCACTCTAAAGAATGAACAGAACTCGATTGAGAGTTCTGGATGAGTTGAAACGAAAGTTCGGTGTGAAATACTTAAGAGGGAAATACACAGTAGTCTGCTCAGATATTGCAACGGTCAGTGATGAATCCCAAAAGATCAGAAGAGAAATAACATCAATGTTTTTTAGAGCAGGACGACATTAACGAGCTCAATCCAAATAGCAAAGTCGTCAACGGTTCCATAAGCAAATTTTGAACTTCCAATCACTGTGAATAAAATGGTTTCTAGCACTCTTGGTCTCAATTGATCAGCTACGACTTTCCAATTTGTGCCAGCGTAGTAACACCAAAATCAGATGCAAGTAAAGGCACAGGCACAGCCCACGATAAGAGCGGTTTTCGAGATTTCGCCATAGAATGAATCTGTTAGCCCCAATGATAGTCTAAGGGAGACCATCGGGCCGAAAAACAGTCAAGACACAGCATAATAAGGGCCCCAGAACTGGCTCAGCCGACATACACAACCAAGGCGGACGAGTTCTCATGGTGTTGTTGTAAAGACTGTAGTGGTTGCACCATTCGCACCAGGACACAAACGTTGCACGCAGGCAGTTTGCTGTAGCTACATAGTTGTTTCTAATGGCACACACATTCGGACAGTTCGTCCAAATACCGCTTACATGCAACTATTGCCGAACCATTCTCGTCCAACCCCTAATTTCACTGCTTTCTCTGTGGCCTTATATTTCTCTGAATACGTCGATTCTTGTGTTCTTCTCCATTTTCCATTATGGACCGCCATTTCCATAATTCGTCTGACTAGATACCTCAAAATCATCGTAAACTGCGCCTTTGAATCAAGTATAGCAGTGAGTCAAATCAACATTTATTTGGTGGGAATCATTTTTGTACTTTTATAGTGGGCATGTAAAACTGAACAATTGAAACTGAATAAATCACCGAGAAGAATAGCTATTTCCATAGAATTTATATATTATTCATCTGGAAGTGCTTCAGGATCAAAATCATGGCAAAATCATTGTTCAAGAGGAAGAAAGACAACAAAGACCATCAAAAGTTCCGACACCGTTTCCGAGCCTTGGGTATATTGATCTGTCGTAACAAAAGATAAATATACTCAAAACCCGTAGCCGAGTATCGAATTGAAGGGGGGATCGGGGCAGTTTACAGCTCCACGGTGAGAATATCTAATTCTTTTCCAAGAACTGCTTCGAGTTCAGAGGTAAGGGGAACAGTAAC